AAGCTATGGTGATTTGGTAGCTGTAGGTCACGGGTGATGCACCTGGAACCAGAGAGGAGGGAGCCCGATTCCAGGGTGCGTTACCCCTTGGGGATGTCAGAGAGCCACAGGCCATTCCGAGGGACCCTACTGATGCTTGTGCACCAGGCCGCTAGCCCATTGGCTCCCCACTTTGGGTCTCGCTCCCCACCAGGCTTCTAGCCCATTGTAGAGGTCATGGATCTGGCCCTTATAGGAATTTTTTGACTCAGCTAAATTATGAGACATGCAGGACCTACTGACTGCGGTCCCAATGTCTGGTACCTGCATCGGCCCATCTGCTTAATTCTGATTTCCAATGGAGGCAGCGATCTATTATACCACACTCAGCTGGGAAACAGGCCACAGTTTCCCTCCTTCCAGGCAAACAGTAGCACCAGTGGACAAACTCCAGGGAGAGAAGGAGGTAAAGGAACAGCTCAGGTGGGAAGACGGAGGTTCCCGCTGCCACAAGACTCTGCCTGGGTGGAAGGGCCTGGGCAGGAGCCTGACAGTGAGCAGGGTCCTGCTCTGGGCCTACTAGATTCCAGGCTAAGTAAATTCTTTTTGCTAAATAATTGCATTTTGCAGCTAAAGGCCCACAAGTTGTCAGTTACTGTCAAACTTAGAGTAAAGTAAGATGAAAGAAGTGAGACAGATACAGAGAGAAAGTGACATAATATTGTGAAAAGAGAGGAGAGAGCCCAATTCCAGAGTGTGTTACTTGAGAACTGCCCTCTCACAATGAAGGACCCCTAAGGGGATATTGGAGAGCCTCCTGGTGGCCCCTCACTGCCCCCCTCTGCCATCCTGGTCACCCCTCACTGCCCTCCCCTCTCCCCCACACTGGCCTGGTCAACCAAGCAGCCTGCTGGTCAGTCGTTTGGTCGTCCCTTGCCGGCCTGGTTACCCCACACAGTCTTTTTCATTTGTTATTGTGATGGCATCGTGACCAATTTGCATACCGGTATTACCCTTTTATTATTATCCTATATAATAAAGAAGTGGTATGCAAATTGACCATCACTCCAACATACAGATGACCCCCGCCCCCATGTGGACACAAGATGGCCACCACAAGATGGCTGGCATGAGAGGGCAGTTGTGGGTGATCAGGCCAGCAGGGGAGGGCAGTTGGGAAGGACCAGACCTGAAAGGGAGGGCAGTTAGGGGCTATCAGGCCTGCAGGGGAGGGCAGTTAGGGGTGACTGGGTCGGCAGAAGAGGCAGTTGGGAGGAACCAGACCTGCAGGGAAGGGCAGTTGCAGGTACTAGGCCTGCAGGGGTGGGCAGTTGGGGGTGACCGGGCTGGCAGAGAGGGCAGTTAGTGGTGACCAGGCAAGAAGGAGAGGGCAGTTGGAGGCAACCAGGCCTGCGTGGAGGACAGTTAGGGGCAACCAGTTTGAAATGGGCGGGCAGTTAGGGGTGACCAGGCCTGCAGGGGAGGGCAGTTAGTGGTGACCGGGCAAGCAGGGAATAGCAGTTGGAGGCGACCAGGCCTGCAGGGGAGGACACTTAGGGGCGAACAGGTTGGGAGCGGAGGGCAGTTAGGGGTGACCAGGCCTGCAGGGAAGGGCATTTAGGGGTGACTAGACTGGCAGGGGAGGGTAGTTTGAGGCAACTAGGCCAGTAGGGGAGAACAGTTAAGCATTGATCAGGCTGGCAGGGGAGTGGTTAGGGGCGATCAGGCTGGCAGGCAGAAGCAGTTAGGGGCAATCAGGCAGGCAGGCAGGCAGGCAGGCGGTTGGGAGCCAGCAGCTCTGGATCCCTGGAGAGGTCCAGATTTGAGAGGGTACAGGCTGGGCTGAGGGATATTTCTTTCCCCCTCCCTCCCATGCTCAAATTTCATGCACTGGGCCTCTAGTAGATAATAGAAGGCCAGCCACCATAAGCATAATGACTAGAACAACCAGAAACCAGAACCACCATGGCCCCTTGCTGGGCTGGCCCTACCCCCAAGCAAGTGGTTAGGGGTGATCAGGTAGGCAGATGGCCCTTGCAGGGCTGGCACTGCCCCCCCAGCAAGCAATTAGGGTGATCAGTTAGGCAGGCAAGTGGTTAGGTTCCTTCCCTCCAACAAAGAAAGAGGGAGTCTAAAGCCACCAGTGGCGATCGCCCCACAGAGGGTGGCCTAGGCCAGTCAAGCCATCGCACCCCACGCCTGTCACCTGCAGAAGGAGGTCACCTGAAGCAGGGGAAGGAGGGGCAACTGCTGCACAGATGGCAAGCAGTGGCAGCGGTGGTGCACCTGCCTGCAACTCAGGGAAGGAAAGTCCCAATAGGCCCTGAACTTAGGCCAAGCCTAAGGTCCCTACCAGAGGGGTCCTGGATTGTGAGAGAGTGCAGGCCGGGCTGAGGGAACCCCCTGAGAGCACAAATTTTTGTGCACCAGGCCTCTAGTCTTGTATAATAAAATCCTAATATACAAATTGACCCAACGGAGAATGACTGGTCACTATGATGCGCATTGACCAGCATGGGGCAAATGCTCATGCAGGAGCTGCCCCTGGTGGTCAGTGCGCTCCCACAGTGGGTGCGCAGCTCAGCCAGAAGCCAGGCTCATGGCTGGCAAGAACAGCAGCATTGGAGGAAGCCTCTTCTGCCTCTGCTGCAGGCGGGTGGTAAGGAGTGAGGAGTCCTGGACTGTGAGAGCCCTGGACTGTGCGAGGGATGTCTGACTGCCGCTTAGGCAACAGGAGGACATCCCCGAGGGGTCTGGACTGCAAGAGGGCACGGGCCTGGCTGAAGGGCACCCCCACCCCAGTGCACAAATGTTGTGCACCAGGCTTCTAGTATATATAGATACTGCCTCTGCCATAGGACCCTTGGTGAGTTAGCCCTCACCCTTCAGATTTTAGTCCATCCTGTCCCCAGCAGGGTTCCCATGATTCCTCAGATATGCTGACCGCACCCCCCTACCCCCCACACCCTTGCCCTATCCCCCTGTCCATTAACCTGTGTGGTTGGATAAATGTTTCACTTTCTCACTAGTACAAAGTTCAATTGAGGGCTTTATCTGTTCTCACTAATCATTGGGTCCTTGTCACTTCATACACTGCCTGGTATGTGGCAGGTGCTCAGAAAGTATTTATTGGATGCATGAACAAAGGTTATGAAGAAAGGGGGAAGAAAAGCAAAGATTGATTGTATGCTGACTACATTCTGGCTCTTCAGATATAGTATACCATTCATTCTGTTACTGTATTTGATAAAAATGAGTTTTATTTCAAGTTACAGACAACCCAACTACGGTTGCTTAAACAAATACGATATTATCTGTCTCACAACACAACAAGAGTTCCAGCTGAAACTGGTATGGCTCGGTGGATAGAGCGTCGGCCTGCAGATTGAAAGGGTCCTAGGTTCGATACCTTGGTTGCGGGCACATCCCCAGTAGGGGGTGTGCAAGAGGCAGCTGATCGATGTCTCTCTCTCATCGATGTTTCTAACTCTCTTTCCCTTTCTCTTCCTCTCTGTAAAAAATCAATAAAATATATATTTTTTAAAAAGTGTTCCAGGTTGGCTTTTCAGGCTGGTTTGACTGCTAACAGGTGTCACCAACGTTCTAGGCTTTTCTGTGTTTCTGCTGCTGCAAATTGGGCAATATGACAGTCTTCTCAAAGTGACAGTCAGTGCATTTTTCCACTGTGCTGTGAGCAATAGATTTGTTGCATGAGTAGATTTGATACTATAAATGCCTCCTTAAACAAAAAGTTTATTTTTTTTAATAATGTACTTTATAAGGAGAAACATGAAAGGAATTCCCAGGGTAACAGGAAGTTTTCCTAAAGTGTCTGGTGATCCTCTGCTTTTATTTAGGTCTAAGCTATTCAAGCCGACTGGAAACTGTGTTGGGAAGAGATTATTGACATATGTTACTGTAGGGTGACCTGATTAGTATTTCAATAGGAGGTCAGGTGTTAATGTTTATGAACTTCTCTTCAAACACTTTTCAAGAAAGAATGCTCTGGTCTCTTTCAGTGGGTAGTAAAAACAGGCCCCGTTTCCTAGAAGCCAAGCAGGAAGGGAGGTGGGGTGTGGGGAGCATATGTATCTTAGCATTCAGTGTAGACTTTGATTTCATACTATGGGCTTCAGTGCCTACCCCAACCTGGAGCTATGCCTGGTGTCTCAAGTCCAGATGCTTGAATTCACCTCTTCCAGAGAGTGAAATGTGCTGGGTGAGGTGGAAGAAGCCAGCCCAAGAAGGGAGAAGGAATTAATAAATTGATTTTAAAAACCAATCAGGTACAGAGAAAGGGAGCAGACTGACAATTCTCAAGGGGAAGAGAGTTTGAGGAATGCGGGAAGAGATTGGACAAAAATCTTACACCTATGGATGAAAACAATGGTGGGGGAGGACATGGATGGGGTGGGTAATCAGGTGGAGGGGAGCTATGGGGGCGGAGGAGAGGAACACCTGTAATAATCTGAACAATAAAGATTTATTAAGAAAAATAACCAATTCTGTTTCCATACCCTTTAATGCCCCATTTCATAGTGCTTGGGATCTCCCATTCCTGAACTTTGTGGAGGAGATTTGGCAAGGTTATGTGTTCAGTGAGCTTACTTCCTGCCTCCCTCTACTTGCAGCCTAGTCTTAATTTGATTAAGCTCTGTCCACAGTTTTAGGGCTGTTGTGTCCTGCTCTTAGTTCTTGTGGGTTCACACCTTTTCTCTCTCTTATCAGTGAGAGGGAAGGCAAGATGATGTATTCATTCACTTATGCTTACCTGGAAATCTTGCATATATTATTTTTCTGTAAAGTAGAATTGTACTGTACATTTATATTTGATCTCTATAGAATTCACTTAAGTTATTCAACATCTGTTGCATATTTAGCAGATTCTCTTATGTAGAAATGACAGGATAATGAAAATTGCTGGGAAAAAGAATCAATTTTCCAGAAAACGAAGACTTGATTTATTAAAATGTGCAGTGAGCCTTTTTAAAAATGTCTGTTTAATTTTCAGATTGTGAGCCATGCCTTTAGTGAAGAGGAACATCGAACCCCGGCACCTATGCCGGGGTGCCCTGCCCGAAGGGATTACCAGTGAACTTGAATGTGTAACCAATAGTACCCTTGCTGCTATCATACGCCAGCTAAGCAGTCTAAGTAAGTCATCTCCTTTTGAGATTAACTTTTTTTTTTTCATTATCAGTTGCATTTTATTGATTTCAATATTAGCAAATAGATTTCAATTCAGTAGCTATTTGTCTAAAGATGAGACTGCAGCTTTGAGGGGAGGAACTGCCCTTCCTCCCTCCTACATGTCCCAGTGTGAAATTAGCAGCACCCTCTCTGGCTTTGTAGCACCAGCTTTATGTAGCAACACATAAAGTTAGAATTCACCAGTTCAAAAATTATTAGATGAGGCCAAATGAGTATATATAAAGTAGTTTTTATAAAATTTTAAAACCTATGAAAATGAGCATAATACAATTAGCTTTATAAACTTTGAGTATTTTGTTTAACTTGGACAGGACTAACTTATATAAAAGGTAGTAAATTGAAACTAGTTAATATCTGTAGTAATATAGCACAAAGTAAGCTCTTGATAAATATTTATATAGGTATTATTCAATTGAATAATACTCCAAATTGATCAAAGGATTAAAGCAAAAAATCATGAGATTTGCTGATTCCAAATTGAAGTCAAATACAATTGTTATAGATATACAGAACCAATTACATATTACATACATAGGGTATATAAATTCAAGCATAAGGAAAAGACTTTCTGTTATTCTAATTTGAACATTGATATGAAATATTTAAGGAATATTCTATGTTTTAAGCCTCAAATATGTGTTTGAAAATCCTTCTCCTTCAAAACTTTTTGAAGTTGCAGTGTTTTTCCCCCTTTTTACATAATCTTATTTTCTCACTTCATCCCACTGCTTTTAGGTTCACTGCATTTTGGGTGACAGGTTTTCACAGTTAAGTTTTTCAGAAACTATTAATAACTAGAAAATCCTCCATAAAATTTCACATACTGGTAGCCTCAAGCACAGAGTATGTTTCCTAAAAAACTTTAAGCACTTTCTCTCTTTTTTTTTTTTTAAGAAAAAACATTATAGATAGATATTTTTAGAAATAATTGTACTGTATTCCTTATTATATTAGAAAACAACATTGATTATTACTAGACCTAAGATAATCATTGACTAAGTCAAAAGTAACTTGGCAATTAGTTAAATGTATTTCACAGTAGATTTCTTCTGGAAAATAAACTCATAATTTATTTTTGGTAGTGGTTGTTGATAAAATGTGTAGATTTGTATAATTATAGGAAGATAACTTGCAAATTATTGATATATAAAATGTTTCTGTTTGCGTTCATATATTTTTTTAAATATATCTTTATTGTTGAAAGTATTACAGATGTCCTCTTTGTTTTTTTTGTTCTCCATCAACCCCCTCCACCCTGCATGCACCCCTCCCAAGCCTTCACACTATTGTCTGTGTCCATGGCCTATACATATATGTATGTAAGTTCCCCAGTTACTCTCTCCCCTGTCACTTCTCCACCCCCACCTTCCCTCTGAAATTCATCAGTCTGTTTCATGGTTCTATGTCTTTGGATCTATTTTGTTCATCAGTTTATTATGTTCATTAGATTTATTTATTATGTGCATTCATATATTTTTATCAGAATGAATTAGTCTCCTGTTTTTATGGCTGAAATATCTTATCTATTGGCATCGTATATAAAAAAAGCCTAATATGCTAAGTGCCCAGTCATTTGGTCGGCCATTCAACCTATCAAAATGTAATCTATGTATATAAAAGTCCAGTGACCGTTACAGCGGAATGACCAGGACGACCAGAATGACTGGTGGCTCTGACATGCACTGTGGCAGCCAACCAGCCTGATCCTGGCAGGATCACTCCCAACACTCCAACCAGGATGGGGCCAGCCAGCCAACTGCTGTGGCTGGCAGAAATTTGGGGTCCAGAGATTTTGGATGTACACAGCCTTGGGCAGCTGCATGGGCAAAGCTATCCTTGGCGGAAGGGGACCCGGGATCAGGGTTCCAGAGTTGGGATAGGGTGGAGAGGCTTTCCTGTTGGCCACAGCAATCCCAAAGGACTGTGTATAGCACCCAGGTGTCTGGCCCTGGTCGGAACAGCGGCAAGAATAGGAGGTGCAGGGTGCAGCAGCACACAGGAGCTACGAGGAATGAGGCTGGACCTGGGCTCTTACCCCGCCTGTGGGGCCCTGCAGCACCAGCAGGTGGGCCATGGTGTGCACTGAGGCACTGGGACACCGGGAGAAGAAGGCCCGATGCCAGCCAGAGCCTGGAGTGGCATGGGCATTGGCCTTGGAATTCTATGGGCAACCAGTGTACTGGCTACCAGCGTGATAGAGCCCTGCTTCATGAGAGAGGACATGGTGGAAAGTGGCAAGGCCACAGGAGGGATAGGAAATGTGGCCATCTTTGGGAAACATACCTGCCATGGTCTTCAGTAACTGTGAACAGATAATCTTTGGCCTTGTTCTGTAGAAGAGGAAGCTCAAACTCAAAGAAGGGAGCCTTCCATAACACCTTACCCATTTCTCAGACCTGACCCTGTGCAGCACTGTTTTCATTGAAAATACTGGGTCCACAATGCATTTAGATCTTTTGATTTTCGCACAGGGAACTGGTGCTGGGAAATCATCGGAAAGCTGGAGGAGTGGGTATTAGACTGGGCCCCCAGGAAAGACTCCTTGCCCAGTGGGAGAAAATGCTCCCTCAACCACAACTGAATTCTAGGACATTGGCACAGCTGTGACCCGGGGATCTGGAACCGCTACCCCCACAAGTGCCATCCTGCACCCACAAAACAGGTCACTGGGCACTGCCTCTGCCACAACTGCCTGTGCACAGCCTGGATCCCACTGCAGAAAATCCACATCTCTGCAAACATGATCACCAGCAGCAAACAGCCCAAACTGCGGGAAGATGCCTCTGCCCCACCTTTGCCTTCAAAATATTGTACAAGTGCATCCAATTGTTAGAAACAAATTCATATCCAGAAATCTAGCTGCAAAGGAATATGAGCAATTTCAGACTTTCATGTAGGAATCAGATCTTGCCAATGTACCTCATGTGCCTAGTATTGATAAAAATGGGGCTCAGCTGGTGGGGCTCAGTGGTTGAGCATCTATCTATGAACCAGGGGGTCACAATGTGATTTCTGGTCAGGTTTCGGGCTTGATCTTCAGTAGGGGCATACAGGGGGCAGCTGATTAATGATTCTCATCATTGATGTTTTTATCTTTCCTTCTCCCTTCCTCTGAAATCAATAATTTCTTTTTAATTGATCTCTGCTATTTTATCATTGTATATAATGATAATGATAATATATATATATAATGATAATGATAATGATAAAATATATATATAATGATATATATAATGATATATATACACATTATAAAGTGTTTTTCACTTCATAGATCACTAATGTTTTTTCTGTTAAAACCATACATATAGAACATTATTTATTATTCATTTTAATTGATCTCAGAGAGAAGAAGGGAGAGAGAAACATTGTTCCGTTGTTTCTTGTACTCACTGGACTGGGTATTGAATCTGCAACCTGGGCATGTGCCCTGATTGGCAATTGATCCACCACTTTCTGGTGTATGGGATGATGCTATGCTGATACCCTGACCCCAAATTCCAGCCTCCAGAACTGTGAGAAAAATATATTTCTGTTGTTTAAGCCACACAAATTTGTGATGTTTTGTTATGGCTGTCTAAGCTGACTAATCCTATATAATAAAAGCCTAGTGACCGAATGGCAGAACAAGCGCAATCCCTTGCCCCGTCCAGCCCTGCCCCCACCAGTGCATGAATTTGTGCACTGGGCCTCTAGTATGCTCAATCACTTGCTATGACTTGCACTGACCACCAGGGAGTAGACTCTCCAACCTATAGCTAGCTTGCTGCTGGGGTCTGGCCGATTTGGACTGAGTGAGATGGGCTGGACAAGGCTTAGAGCCCTCCCTCAGCCCCTCCCCGGCTGGCCAACCTCCTGCATCCCTCCCCTGCCCCAATCATGAATTGGTGGTGTTCTTTGGCCTGGCCTATGTCCTCTCGCAATTTAGGACCCCTCGGGGGATGTTGGAAGGCCAGTTTCAACTCAATCCCGCAGGCAGGCCAAAGGACCCAACTGGTGCACAAATTCGTGCACTGAGCCTCTAGTAGAGTATAAGTGATGATAACCCACACAGACTTTTAAAGTTTTAATAGTGGAGCTGTATCTCATGCTGTAATATTCTGTGCAGTGTTGTGTTAGTAGTGTTTATGATGTCTGCTTAGGTATCGTCTCTTGTAAGTGAAACTAATAACAGTATGTTTTATTTCACATAGTCCAATTTTAGGCACATAATAATAGCCCCTCGAAAGACGTCCATTTCTTAACCTTGGAACCTTCAGATTGCAGCTATCCTACATGATGTGGCAAGGGGGAATTAAGATTGCCAGGTGGGACCAGTGTTATCACAGGGGTCCTTTAAATGTGGAAAAAGGAGGTGAGAGAGTCAGTGCCAGAGAGTTATGATTTAACTAAGACTCGATTGGCCATTGCTGGCTTTGAGATAGAAGAAAAGGACATGAGCCAAGGAATGTGTAGGCAGTCTCTGGAAACTGGATTATCCCCTAAAGCCTCTATAAGGCACAGTTCTGCCTATATCTTGTTCAGACTTCTGACCTCTGGGAACTCTACATTTGTGTTGCTTTAAGCCACTAAATTGGTGGTGATTTGATACAGCAGCCATAAGAAACTAATGCACTACTCTAGCCTTGGTTATGTTTTGTACACATAATCCACTGTAACCTTACGTGAGATACCAGCCTCAAGGATAGTCAGCCTTATTTAGGCTCTCTCACTGGATCTCAACCAGAATCATTTGGAGAGCTTTAGAACCAGAGACTAGGAATCACTGCAGAGATTGTATTTGGAGTGTGTTCCAGAGACAAGGCCTACAAATTAGATTCTCTGCATCTGGATTGAAGAGATGAGCTGGATCAGTCGTTTGCTCCCAGGAGGTTTGAACTAAGAAACCACACTGAATTTGCTAGTTAATATGGAATCTCCTCCTGAAATCTCACCCAGCACTA